TCAGTTTAAACAATTTTCGCTTTCCCCACCCGTGGAAGGAAAACGCTAAATATTTATATCCAACACTTTTGGCAGGTAGACTTTAGCGACTTAAAACCGAGTCGGAAACATTGCAACCACGCCCCCATAAATGAAAAATATTCTCAATTTCTATTCAAAGGACTACACGAAACCAGTTTGATGCAGATCTAAGGTTAGGTTTGAAACCGTATCATAACCATGAATTATTTGGCCCATTCACAACACTGATTTTACAAGTATTTAATGGATAGCGCATACATATTAGGTTATATTTTTCAAAGCCTATGCGATATCCAATTGCTTTCAACAAAAAAAAAACTTTCCATTACATTACAAACATCCTGTCCAGAAAGATTGAAAATTAATTTTTAATAGATTTCTAAGGCTTGGAAACGGCGATGACAGCAGAAAGCACAAAGTGGCAGTCAGGCATCTTGCGTTTACTGCTCTAAATTTTGCGTTTACGATTTCTCGCACATTATTTTTTTTTTCAGAACCCAAGTAACACACCTTTTGAAGCCTATGCCCGCACCATAACAGAACAAACGACTGGGAATACTACTTGAACCACACATATGTTAATTGAACATTGAAACCACATATATATGATTTACACAGAAAGATTAAAAGATATAGCATTCCTGTAGTTGAGTTTAACTTGTTATGGGTGAGTTATACATATTTACATGATGGATAGATATTATCGCTTCTATTCACGTATTTGAAAAAATTTGTGTATGTACGTGTGATTTATTATTTAGTTCACGGCTACAAACCAAGCGTTCAATGTACAAAATTACTAAATATTAAAATGTATTGAAACTGCGAATTACGAAGACAATCTTTAGTTACGGTTCACAGCTGAAGAACCAAAATTTAGTTTTTGACTATGCCAATTGAATTTACTTTTTATGTTGTGAATATGCGCAAGGAATGAGTAGTGCAGAATAATTGGAATGGTGGAAATGGAACAAAAAAATACAATAATGCAAAATGCAACTTCGATAATCGATAAAATTAATTTTATATTCTACATGCAATATAAATATAACGTATATCAAACTGCAGGAACGTATCAATTGCGAAAAGTACGTCTTTGGGAAATATATTATTTTTGAAAATTTTGATTATTGCGTTATACCAACACAAAATGACAATGAAACAAATCTGTTATATTTTTTGTGCATATGTCTTAGTTTTTAAAGACTAGAGTCACTGCGTAGCGCGAGTGACTGGCAGCATCTCGTATAGTACTACAGATCAAAAATATATAGAGTTTGGATTATGCCTCCTCCCATTCACCATCAACATTGCTCTAAATATTTTGTCATTTTGCGAAGAAATGCATTTTATGTGGCAAACTGCCGAAAATTTTGCATGATTGGCAAGCATACATTCATATGCGTGTATTTTTTTAATTGTATCGATAGAATCTTAATCGCGATTTTATCAAAAATGTTGTAAGTTTATTTGCTTTTACTTAAATATAGCTTTGTCTCTGTTTGTGTTAGTAATTTTTTGTGCGCTAAACTGTATAATATTTTATAAATAAAACACAAGGTATGAGAAAAAACAGATTTTACAAGACCCTCTGAAAGTTCAAAGGTAGTTTCAGTATCAGTGATTGCTCTTCTGGCTAAGTGAAGACGCAATTTAAATACACTATTAGACACATGTTTCACCAAGCTGGTGGGCGATATACATGTATTAGTGGTAAAAAAGTCCATCTACGTTTGTAAAACCAAATTTGTTCACTGCCTTACTGCCTCATTCACAAATCTTTGTTGTGAGTTCCCAGCGACTTTTCAGTAGAACGCACTTCAACTTCAAGTCCACTCCCCTCATTTACTTTAGGAGCACCGGGGGAAAATGTGGACCCGTTTTTTGCCGTAGAAACGGTGTCCACAACGCACCAGGAGCATTACGGCCATGCACACAACGTAGGTAGGAGAAATCCAAACCAGGCCTGAGCTGACCGAGCGTCCGCAAATCCCGACCCCTAGGTTAACTGTCACGTATGGAGTGAGTGTTCATGACATCCCAGTGGAGGGAGCCCGCCGAACAACATTGGTTGACTCTGAGATAGGATGGACCCCCGCTAATCTTGGTAGCGTTCCCTATGCTCCTCAGTTGGATGTTAAGCCACTTACAAAGATTCCGGAACAAGGTTGGAAATATGGTAAGTGGTGTGATGGACAATCCGACCCCCTTGGATTCCCGGATGACTTCGAGGACCGAGCCATTACGTATGGTGTCGCCCTTCATCGCATGTTTAGGTAGTCTGCGACAGGGCTGCTCGTTGGTTCCTGAGTAGTGAGCTGAGGGAGCATTTTTGGAATTCTTCTTGCACAGCGCTATTCCTGCTTTCTCCTTACGGTTGAAAACCAGGTACTGCCGCTTCTTGACGACGCGGCATGCTAAGCATGCTGATCACTATCCCAGCTAGGCCAACATCTAACCCCACGGCCTTTGTCTACTACTTCCAGCGTGGATCCATCTAGCACACTCACTCACGGAGCGTAAGATCCGGTTAAAAGATGACAAGTCATTGAAGTAAAGGTACTACCCAAAAAGTCCAGCAGTTCGCATAAGGTAATCGGCGAGGAGGTAGATAAGCTGATCCAGGCAGGTGCCATCGAGCCGTCGCGTAGTCCGCGCACAGCCTCAATTATCACGCCCGATTTATCTCTAAATCTCAATTTAAAGCACGGGTATTGGCAGAAACCGATGGCAGCCGATAGTAGGAGTTGTACTGCATTTACGACTCCAGGGAGGGATTTGTTCCATTGGCGGGCGATGCCATTTGGATTGCATTCAGCATGTGCGACCTTCCAGCTGGCATTGGACACGGTAATAGGGTCGAAGATAAATGCGTTAACCTACCTAAACTATATTGTGCTGATAGGGGCGACAAGAGAACAATACGTCGAGAATTTAGGGGAGGTTTTCCGTTGGAGGAACAGGAAGAGATGTTGCGTTAAGGACAGATTGAGGACTTGGCCTGTGTTAGCTTATCAGGACTTTTCCGCCAAATTCGCCTTGCAGAGTGACGCGACTAGGCCTCGGTGCAGTGCTGACGCAGACGATATAGAAGGGCTGCTTGGTAATCGGGTGGTCGATCAGGATCACCTCGCACTTAAATGACTAACCTCAACGATGAGGGAAACTCAACGTCTTGGGTGCACTATCAAAGCATCCTCCATAGACCTGTCAGCAAGCTATGGTGACCGAGTCCCCCTGCGAATGAGTCGCGGGTACGCAACGTTATTCCCTATAAATAATATCATACCCAAGCTAAACAATATCATGGACTTTGCGGGCTTTACTGAAAATTTATCCGCAGCTTTGTTTAAATAGCCAATGTACAAATTAGCATAAATTTAAAATTATGAAGTTTGACTGATCTGATATTAATTCTTCCGAATTTCGAGAAACTATTCTAGTTAACTACTGATGTAAATAACATTGCTGTAGGTGCAGTGGTATCGCAAGATAACATAGATAATAGACTGCAGGTCATAGTACAGTCTGCCCAGTCAATCTAGCTATGTGCGTCCGTCTGTCGATCTGTCGGATGTATTAACGCAGGAAACTCATAATTCCATCAATCAAATTCCATCAATATCATATATATGTCAAGTATCTTTCATTTTATAGCTATCACCACCTCCCCGCAACTACCTCATAGTTACATATCAAGGAAATTCAAATTATGCACCAATATAAGCCACATATTTAAGTGCAATGAGCATTTCTAGAATACACGAACATGTTATAATACAATAAGATCGACTGCTCATAGAGATCGATTAAGAAACACAGAAGTAAATGTGTTTTCCCTGCCCACATGTTTGCGGCAGCTAGCGCTAATTCCAAGGGTTTCTGTATACATGTACACACACTTATGCGCGTCTGCTTCGAATTCTATCAACAGCATTGCTATTGCGATTGCATTGTTTTCTGTGCTGCTATTTTAATTTTTTTTTTTTTTTTTTTCATTATGACTCAGTTTTTGGTGTGGCTGTAGAGTAGAGGCAGTGGCAAGTTGTGCGGTCTGTCACGAGTTCGAGTCCTACTGAGGAAGCTATTTTTTTTGGCTGGAGTGGCTGCTGAGTAGAGTCGTCAGCAAGTAATGCAGTCACTTGCGAATTCGAACGGGAACTTTTTTTATTTTGCTTTATTACTACAAACGATAGCGCGTAGCGCGAGCTATTCGTGTTGAAATAAGAGGGTCTTCCCTAGTCGAGAGCTCCCGACTAGAAGCTTTTACTTGTTTGTTGGACAACTTTCAGAAATAGCTGCGTAGAACAAACCCCAAATTCTTTTATAAACTATACCTTTGATAACTTTCATGTATTTGGAGACATTTGACTAATGGCTTTACAGGTATGTGCGAACAGTAAGCCTCGTAAATGCTGAGTTTGATACAAACATGTTGGAAAACAGAATATGTTGCCATGCCACAACTTAATTCTCAACCGATCGTTCCTATCATGAGAAAAAGACCAGTTCGCATGTAAACAGACAGACGGACCTGGGGTGTTGATGCTGATCGAGATTATATACTCTTTATGAACTTGAAGTTGTTGCCTTCTAAGGGTATAGCAAATAATAGCGAACTTCTTCTACCAACACCAAAATCCAGATGCTTGAGTTTTAACCGATCTTGATGATCAAAATTGTGGGTTAAATTAGTGGTAGTTCCAATTGATTAACTTATTTAATCTATATCAATATCTCTGCCAGAGGTTCTTTCTCTCTGGAGAAAGATACTTGATTTATATATGCTATACATATGTTAATATACTATTCTAGAAGCTTCATTTGCTCTTAAATGGATAAAATCTCTTTTAGTATATAATTAATTTTTGCATATATTCAATTAAAATATTCTTGGATTTTCCAACATTTATTCAAAATATGCTATGTATGCAGTCCTTTACCTTTACTCGCAATGCGCATGTCTGATGTCGAGGAAGAAAAAGTAAAATAAGATTGAACCAATTTCATAGAAACTTACGTGACGAAAATTAAAGTATCAAATGTCGGGATAAAAACATTTATCACATATCATAAAATGATTGAGTCGCAAAGCTTTCGCATCGTACTCTATACTGTGTATATTTGTAAGTTAGTTATTATGCATATTAAGTTTTTTCTTCATGTTCTTGTTGTGTTTATATGCATGAGATATAATAAGACAAAAATGTTTAAAAATATGCCTATAGTACTTTCTAGATTAGCACTATGCCAGCGCGAGCATTATGGGTCAAAAATTAATATGACGGACATGCTTATGCTGGGAGAGCAAGTCAATGGTTTCAATTTTAATGAGGAACCAATAGTCAAGTACAGAGGACCCTATTTTGATACAACTGCAACAAAAAATGTGACATCCCTAGTTGGTAAAACAGGACATCTGAACTGTCGCATCAAAAATCTCGGCAATAAAACGGTGGGTTATTATTGAATACGAAAGTACTTCAAATAAACGTTGTGAAAATTAAAGGTATCTTGGATAAGACACAGGGATTTACACCTCTTAACAGTGTCTGAAAGTACTTACACTTCGGATCAGAGATTTAATGCAATCTATAATAAGCAAACTGGTGACTGGTCATTACAGGTACGTGAAAACATTACAATCGTGCTTCATTTCAAATCAAATAAAAAATTTAATTTTCTTTATGAATGGCAGACAATCGATAAAAATCTATATAGAAATTATCTTCTTTGATTTTGTATCCTTTATTTTCTCGCTATTTGTTATAAAATTGTTTGTAACGTTTAAACCACCTGTAATAATTAAATAATTTTTACTTTTCAGATTAAATATCCACAAATTAGAGATTCTGGAGTTTACGAATGTCAGATATCGACGACACCTCCAGTTGGATATACCATGATCTTCTCTGTTGTGGGTATGTTCTTCGATTTTAAAGCTTCTATTGATAAAAATAGATAAAATCAACTGAAAAACGAACAGACTAGCGAACACACAGACAGTAAGACAGACATTTTCAAAAATCAACAAACTCTTTTCAATTTGTGATTCCATTGGGTACGAATAAAGCTTACAGCGGTTCCCCGTGTGCGGATCATGGCTACTGTGGGCATACCTGACACTTTTACAGCTCACTTATTATTTAAATTATTACCATTAAATTAACTTCCATTGAAATAAAAGGACATTATCTTTACAGAGCCAATTACAACTATTCCTGGAGCTCCAGAATTATATATTGATTTAGGATCTACAGTTAATTTAACTTGTATTGTAAAACATCTTCCTGACCCCCCACTTATGGTTCACTGGACTCACAACAATCAGGTAAGTGTAAGCAAATTGTCAAATTAATTGTCACAGTGTTATTTTATTCTGAGCTTCTCACAAAGTGACCTCGTTTAGTAAATTCTAAAGATTTTCCACATTAATGAAGAGTTAACTTTTTCAGGAAATAAACTATGATTCGCCAAGAGGAGGGGTATCTGTTATAACCGAAAAAGGCGACATAACGACTTCTTATCTGCTAATTCAGCGTGCTCAAATATCTGATTCTGGCAAGTATTCCTGCTTGCCATCAAACGCTAATTCCAAATCAGTTTACGTTCACATATTAAATGGTAAAACGATTTTGTAAACAATTTACTCTCATAATAATAATATACATGGTATTTGCTTTATATAGGTGATCACCCGGCAGCAGTCCAAGGAGCGAACTTAATCAGAAGCTTAAGTTTGAATGCTTTAATATTATTATTAATAATATTAGCACATCTTTAAGCTCGAAGCTCAAAATTTTATTTATATTTGTAAATATAGTTATTCAAAGTACTCATCAAAACAAAAAATCAAAAACAATAAATAAATAAGTGACCAATTTAAGAAACTAAAATCGATGACTTACTTTATTAAACAAGCAACTGAATTGTTTAACATCGAAAGCTTTGATAATGCAGGCTGATCCTATTTTTATCCAGATTTAAAAATTCCAGTATTTTAGTGGCATCAAATAATGTTGAAGTTCCACAGGCCAATGATCCGAAGAAAACTGCCTGATTTGCGAATGTGATTAGCATACAATACGGTTCATGTTCTTCCACATCCTTCTTAATCACCGCGCATCAATCCAATCAAGCACATATGGAAGGAGCTGGAGAAAAGGCTGAAAAAGCGTACATTTCCCACGAAGACTGAGCTTACAGGAAAGGAAATTGATATTGAACCAAATGTTGCCGAAAAAGTGGTGCATTTAATGCCAAATTGCCTAGAAAGAATTATAAAGCAAAAAGTCTTGCCAATACTTAAGTCCGTGACTGTAAATAATAAAATGTGTTCTTAGGAACTTTTTTGTAATATTATATATTTAACATTTTTTACATATTTTTAGCTTCATTATCTTCTTGTTTCCAATATTTGGTAATGACAGATTTAATCACCACTAAGCGTAAATTATATATAAGGGAATTAAGTGTATCTTCGGCTAGCCGAACGCCGCTTATCATTGTATATGCAAAGCTTGAATGAATATTTTGCCATACAACTTGTTTTTCTTTTTAATTTAAGGTAAAGTGCTATATAATATATTATTACGATACGATTAATATAGGTATCATATATCAACAATCATTGGTGTTTAATGCTGATTTAGAATATATAAATATATATTTTTCATGCGTTACACATTTCATGAAAAAGTATGTTTACCTCTTCTAGGGTATAAAAAGGGTGGGAATAAAATATGTTATTCGATATACTCACATTTGCCTGGGTTATAGAGTATATAAGAGGGCGTGTCTATTTCAGTCATCCAAAGCAATGAAAGAGATGCCGATATCACAGACCAGACAAGAAAATATTCTTACTACATTTTCACTCAACTTTAAGAAACCGGATTTTGTCTTAAGACTTGAGTAAAATTACGACATCGACGTTATGAATGGGAGTAGTAGTTGCGGGCCAGGTGCCTGCACCTGTTCCGTCCAGAAGTGGAAGTGGATCTGTTGAGTGTAACTCGGTAAGCAACTTTTTATTGTCGACTTGCAGGTATGACCAGAGAGAGAGAGAGAGAGAGAGAGAGAGAGAGAGAGAGATGGGAAGAGTGCAAAACGTAAGAGGCACAAGCAAGTTCTGACAATGATCCTGAGAAATAGCCGCTCACACTGAAATTCATTCAAAATACCCTAGGTAAAACTCTAATTGCCACTCAAGAAGAGTACAAAATAATGCAACGGCAACGGCAACAGCAGCAGAAAAAACTAAAGGGACTGAAGAATATTGAGGTAATGATAACAAGCCGCTCGCTCACCTCACAATGCAACAGGTGACGGACGCCAAAACGGTCTTCCTCTTGGGGAGAAGAAGTCAAGTTGCTACCTGTTAATACATAAATACATATGTATGTACATCAAACGATGCCTACGAGCAACGAATAAAGGTAGTACATACACACATATGCCACAGTGCCCAAACGTGAGCAGGTGCTCGTGCCCGTGCCAGAGCGTTCAAGACGAGTTTGTTTGAGATCAATTGATAGCCGTAGCGTTGTGTAATGTTGATCTTGTTTTGGTAACGTAGTGGAGCATTGAGTTAAATGAGCCTGACTCTTAATTTTGCTGGATGGCCGCTGGTCTTGTCCGCGAGACGACTTTTAGTATGTGTATGCTTGTGTGTCTTCTGAGTATGTTATGTCTGAATGGTATTGGTATTTTAAGTGTTTGCAGTTTTTCTTCAAGAAGGTCATGGCCGATTCAAGCGATCCTGATCACGCAGTATTTGTTGAGCATTGAAAGAAATGGGTGCGGAGATTCACTGTTAACAATAAAAATTAAAATACAAATACAAATAAAAATAAAAATAAAAATACAATAACACGACTACTGTAAAAAGCCTAATGCAAACTGTTTTCCAAAATGGAATTATGCGTTTTAATACCAAAAGAGTTTTCCTTAACAAAGTTATCCTTGCCGACTAACATCGAATCTGTTTTAACCGTGTGTGCAACAACTAATATCAAAAGAGGAACTTTATTTTATCCGTTTCATGGCACCATTCGCACCGACAAAATAGAAAACTTAAAATATCCTGATGAAAATGATGTAAGTGTACTATTTCTTATTAAAGGAAGTGACTTATCTGAAGAAGAGTAATGAATTAATAATATAAATTGTGAATAAATTGCGTTTTGAGTTGTTACATGTGTTTTTTTTTGTAAAACAATTATAATATTCTAAGGTATAAAAATTGATTAAAAACAATTGTATATAAAATATACATATCCTGATTAGTATCAGTATCCGGTCTTTCAGTTTAAGCCATCATTATATATGAATGATCGGTAAACTATATTAATTAATTAACGGTCGAGAATAAACTCGTTTATTTTGACAATATCTTAGCTGAAATTATATTTACATGATGCATAGAAAAAAACTGAGTAATTTTGAGCTTTATAATTCTCCCTGAAAATCTGCCAAGCTGATTTTATTAAATCAAGATTATTTCATTTCTCTTAACTTAAATTCAAAGCTATTTGGCTGTAAAAAAATTACTTTTGTATTTTATACATTTTGCACTAATAAAATGTGTTGAGCGGCATCCTTCGTTTATTTTTTCGTAAAAGTGGGCCACAACAGGAAATAACAGCTTTCTTCTTGATGCATAAAACGTAAAACGAAAAATTATGCAGTATGTATATGTTTTATGAATCTTAACTGGCGTGCTCGTCTAATTGTGCAGTAGCAGTAGTAGGTAATATCTGACATCGGTTTTTTAACCTAACAATTACGACTTTACTCCTGACGCATAAATACAATCTTATCGACTTCGATAATGTAAATTGCTGGATAAATCATTTTTATTTGCTGCATTTGGTGTTGGTAATAAAGGGTTCAGGGTATCTCCTAGTGGAGAATTTGCGACTAGAGTCTCTTACTTGTTTTTTCTTGAAGCTTACTTCTTGGTATGAATGTGGAGTACGAGGCTGTGACAAGGCTGTGCTGTCGGTAACGGTCTCAAGCCCACTTAAGGACGCTTTAATTTTTTAAAATTTATTTTTATAACTGCTAAAGCAAACGAGCTCCTTGCACGAGCAGCATTACACATACATATATATTTAAATAAAACTGTTTCTCCTGACAGACTGATTGGTGATTAACTCAAAACCGTAAAGGAATCGAATCGGATCGGGTTCAAACATATTTTTAAAGAACTTTGTGAGAAGTTTTTATTAATATAAAGAATATAATTACATTATTCACCATCCGACTACTGTTGCTACTCACACAATGATTTGATATAACATTATAATGGTCTTGCGAAAATTTTAATTTTAAAAGCGATCTTTTAAGCAATCGATAAAAGTCGATATCAAAATCCAGTTTTTTGAGCGAATCTCTTATATGTAGCTTCTATAATATCAAATATCTTTCATTATTTAGCTATCAACATTTTTCTGCAAAGCTAAAGAAATCAAGCGCGTTACGCGAGTTGCATGTGGTGTTGGTAGAAGGTTCTTAAAGAAAGTCCTTTATTGCGAAAAGTTCTTTAATCTGAAAATCTTAATTTTTAACAGTATTTTCCTAAGCGACTTAAGTCATGAGTGTCCCAGCTAGGACATACTCAAATTTGCTCAGCACCTGTTTAATTGATATGGTAGTTGTCAATTACCGTGAGACGGTTCCCTTGCCAATCTCAATTTAAGATACAAACAACTTTAACTGCGGTGTCGACTAGACCTAAGCATATTCACAAGGAACAATAGCTTGGTTTACATTATAAGAACATGTATTACGCATCGTTGCCTCAGAAATGTTTTGGAAAGAAATGCTTCTGAATACTTACATATGTATATATGTAGTGTGAACGATTCAGCCCCTCACTGAATTTTTCTCAGGCTTGCCGTAAATAACTGCTGAAGCGTTAAAGAAAACTGTGAGAACTTCTTGAAAATATCTCGAGTCCGTCTTCAAGACTTCCCAGCGTCATGGGAGAGTGATCACCCTATTGACTCTTAGAAAAAAATTATAGCATTAAATTCGTAGCAATCATATATATGCTTGTGTTAGTGTCTTCTTCATATTATATATATGTTCATGCATATATCTTTTTGCTCAAAAACTTTATTTTTTATTAAAATAAAAAAAACAATACATTAATAATATATACAAAGTGATTTATACATAATATGATGTTGGATATAAATTATAAATTTCAATGAAAATATAATTTCGGCTTGTGCCGAAACTTTTCTGAATGAGATACAGCAACAACAAAGAATAAACGTTAATAAAAGTATATTTATATATATGTGAACTTATACATATATGAACAGATCGAGAAGAGCCTTCTTATAATGGGTTAAAAGATCTAATCAGTGGGCATGGATATTCAAGAAAATATATTTGCACAATTTGTTGTTTATAGAAAGTCGTTAGTAATCGAATTATCAATTTTCGACATTTTGGCCGGCTATTTTCCAAATATCTTATAAAAGCCGATTTTACGGTTCAAAATTTTCGACTCCCATAGCTTGGTCAAATCTCATCCGATTTCCACGAGGGTTGGGGGTTTATTCACTGATTAGAAATTAAATTTATGCTTAAAACTTAATCCACCAAGTCTAGAACCTCCATTTTCACCAAGAACGGATGTTTTTTCGAAAAGTATGAAACACCCCCTTCAAACTAAGTTAACCAGAACTCTGAAAATATTGTTGAAGGCGATTGAGAATGGCAACGATTTTTCCATACTTGCGTGTGGAATATCCAAAAAACCTATCTTAGCTTGCACTTCTATCCCAAATCTTGAAAGCATTTGGAAAAGTAACAGACCACCAGTAGTAATTGCGTAAATTACTTAAAATGTTATATATGAATATATATTTTGTTTTTATATATTTCAGCTGAGGCATCGGCACGGCTTGTATCATGAAGTTTCATACAATAATGGAACGTGTGTGATCCACTGTAATTGGATACGATTTCTTAAGATCGCGGGCTCGTTTGACCGTAATGTAAATCTTATTTGTTCGATGGTTAAAGGGGATCCATTGTATGAAGTTATTAAGCCAATTAAAATTAATCAGGAATTAGTGGTTTATTACATACCAGAACGTCGGGAAGATAATATATTTTCGACTGTACGTTCGACCCTTTATAGGAAAGCTATGGACGCCATTCTACAAGGTATACCTTTGCAAACTAAATTAAAATCTGTTTCTAATTTGTATTTTACTTTTTCAGACAGTCCTCTTGATTTGTCTTTAGCATTAATGTATAAAATACCAAATTTACCACTATCTCCGCCGATTAGTGAGGATGAACAAAAGTCTGTGCTGAGCGATTCTTCTGGATCCTTATTATCACTGGTTGACAGTACAACTGACAACTCAACAACATCATCAACATCGATGGATGAAATAAAGGACTTTACGGCAATCTCTCCTAAAAGAAAAACCAATATCGAAAGTTACAAATATGGAGGTTCAAGAAAACGCATGGGAAAAAATGAAAGACCTTTGCTACCTTGTGAAGTCTGCAGAAAAGCCTTCGACCGGCCAAGTCTACTTAAGAGACATATGAGAACTCATACGGGTACTTTTTTTTGTTATAATTAATTACACATTCACCTAGCTAAGATTTCGTATAGCGATATCCATTAACGAAAGGCCGAGAGAAAGAAAAATAGTACAACCTTTGAGTCGATGTCATAAGATAAGCTTTAATAAAATTAAAGTTAACAAGTTAGGCGATGGCACAAGCTTTAACATGCTAATGGGTTTTTAGATTTGCAACGTCTTTTAAATTATCTGGTCCACATCTTGATGCTAACATTCGCTTTAGAACATGCATACCGGTTTTAACCTTTAATAAATGCATTGGTGATTTGGAATATTATGTACAATTTATTAATCACTAGATATTACTTAATCGCCATTTAGTCTTACATTTTACTAAATATTTTTTCTATTACCTATATCCCGGTTTTCACAGGTGAAAAGCCACATATTTGTATGGTTTGCGGAAAAGGATTTAGTACTTCCAGCTCTTTGAATACTCATAGGTACGGCTATATTAAAAATGATCAGCAAAAAAATTAACTTAAATCTTAAAAAAAAAAAAAATTATAGGAGAATTCACTCCGGGGAAAAACCACACGAATGTCCAGTGTGCGGAAAAAAGTTTACCGCCAGCAGCAACTTATATTACCATAGGATGACACATATTAAGGTAATTTTTTAAATACTATTTTTTATACCCTGAGCCCAGTGGAAATCTGTAACATGCAGAAAGAAGCATATCCGACCCCATAATGTATATATAGCTATGTCCGTCTGTCTGTCCGTCCTTCCGCGTTCCGTATCTATTAACGTACATTCTACATTTTGAACGTAGGTCCTCCTAGTGCCCGCGCAGTGTGCGATCCTATAATCGATAACTTTTGTCCGTGTAAAGTCTTTTAGATCATCTGATGTGGAAATATTTCTGGCATTATTTTTATTTAATTAAATGTAGTTATAACAAAACAATATTTAATGACTATATGGGTTTATTTTTATGCTTTTTCAAAAAGGAAAAACCACATAAGTGTAATTTATGCGCAAAGTCATTTCCAACTCCTGGTGACCTAAAGTCCCACAAGTACGTTCACAGTGGATCATGGCCGTTCAAATGCTCAATATGTTTCCGCGGTTTCTCAAAGCAGACGAATCTGAAGAATCATTTATTTCTGCACAGTGGTAAGTTTTATAAAGAGTATATTTTAAAATATTTGGCATAAGTATATTCTCGTTACGCATGAAAAGGAACAAAAAATATATAAAAGATTGCCCTGAAGAAATGTATAGTTCGAAACCTTAAAGATTAAATACCCTTGCAGACATACCTTACTAAAGCTGATGTTCCTATAGCTAAATGATATAGTAGTCCGATATCATAAACATTTTGCGGAATCTTTTATTTGTTAAGACATCAGAATCTTATGAGCGATCGATTCTTTGGCAGCATATTTTGATAGTGGCGGGTAGTCCTTGATAAACTAATCCGCTTGTATAGTACGACGAATCTTTGATGGTATCATGATTTCTCGAAAATTTCTCGGTTTAGAGGACGGATCGGCGCTTTAATATGTACTGCGTTAAGAAGACTGGGCTATAGAGCAGAGTGCAAGGCCCCAGCTTCAGGCCAATTGCCACCTGAGCTCTTTACCTGTTTGATGAGCTTCAGCTGCTCCTAGTTCAGATGATACAGTCATATGTTGATGTCTCTTATCCTATAGAGGAACTGACAACGCTTACCCAAGGCCCAATTCATCTATCAGTATTCATACATTCTGGAGATCATTTTTATTTTGTCACTCGTTTTGGGAGAAAACCGCCCCAGTGCCATTGGCTCGGGAACTCCCGACTAGAGCGTCTTACTTGTTTGTATCTTAATATTACGTGTTAACTTAAAGTCCAATTTGTGTTGAGTTAGCCTTGTTATACCCTGAACGCACTTAAAACGGGTAAAATGGGTATGTAACAGGAAGCATCTGCAACCGCATAAATATATATAAATTCTTGATCAACATCAATAACCGAGTCGATTTATCCATGTACGTCTGTCTGTCCGACTATCTGACCGGCCGCTCCTATGTATGATCGCGTCGATCTCAAAAAATATAAGATCTAGAGATTGGAACGCAGGCTCTCCTAAGGCCCGCGCACTACAAGTTTGTTTCCGATAATTGATAACTTTTCCCGTTTGCTAGCACGCGATAAAAATCGATATTAATTTCCTATTTTTTATGTTTTAATGAATTTGACAAGTAAAGCTATTATTTTATAACTATCGCCACCCCCTACTGTGGTACATGTCGATTTTGGCGATTTTCTTAATAACTCGTATAATCTCTAAATGATTTTAGAATAAGTATAAAAATTCATTATTCGTTATGTCAGATAACTCATTTTGAGTAATATTTTAACGTAATATAGCCCTAAAAAGTCAGGAAAAATCAAAGCTGACTCAAGTTTCAACGTTCTCAAATTTGTGTGAGAATAGTGAGAAGTCGTGATCGGGGCTGCAAAGCAGAAGAGAGCGTAAAAATTGGGAGACTTTCCACGCTCTCTCCCGTTCTTTTGCTGCAGCGTACGCAAGCCATTTCTAGTGATTATATGGGGCAAAAATGAGACAACACCGGATCAAAGTCTTCGGCAGCCTTCAAAACATTTTACGATGGAAAATCTACGATCTTTTAAAAATGGTAAGTGAAAAATTTTTATGGGTATGCATGCTATATATAATTGTATATATATACATGTATTGAAGAAAACACAAAAATGAGCGCGCTAGAAAAATTGTAACAGCCGCAGTAGCGTCTCTTGCAATTATATTCTGTCTGCTTATTTATTGTCTGTTTCCAGCTCAACTTCGCGAGTTCTGCATGAATCATAATTAATCACATAACATCCACAATATTTTTTCTGATACAAAAAACAATAAAAATTTCTGCAGTGAAATTTAAAAAAAAAAAATGTTCAAATATAGTACTTTTAGCTTTTCTGGTCTTTACTTGGGCATAAAAAGCTTTTTGCCTCCTGAAAGCAAATCGGTTAAATAAAAACGCTCATTTACTTGCTGATAAAAATATTAGAGAAGAATCCTCGGAAATATAAGTTCTTCCGGAAAATACCAGATTTTAAAATTTAAAAAAACCTGATCAGAGAAAAATTAACAATGGATTTTTCCCCATATGGAATACCATATGTATCTGAAAAAGGAGGTTAACTTTATAATGTTAATGCATATTTTTCTTATCCTTTCAGATTTCAATTTTAACGTGTTTAGTATGTAATGTTTAGCTAATTCTGTTTTCGAGAGAGTATTGTGTCTTGTGTAAATAATATTAAATTATGTTCAATTTATTTATTTACTATTTATCAATTACAATAAATACTAAGAAATATTTAAGAATTGAGTGGTTGTGTTTCCGTTTGGGGTATGGGAGTTCTTCTCTTCTGCCTGTTACTTAAAATGTCCCCCATAGAGGGGATTGGACAAACTATAATATAGCTAAAATAAATCTCTTGTATGGATAACTCATTTGCTTAGAATGATATGTAGATCAAACGTGATATTCTATGCGTCTTACATATATGCGAAATTTTTGTCTATTATTATAAGAACCCCTTTTTCTTATAAAGATATCAAAACCAAACTCTTCAGGTTTTTGTCTCACTATTCTATGAACATCGGACACTATATAATACAGCTGCCATAGGATCGATCGGTGAAAAGTAGGTTCTTGCATGAAAAACTTTTAAAACTCATTGCTTTGATCGAAGCGGTAATAATTAAGTTTCATACTACAATCATCCGCCCGCCTTCTTGCAGGATCAGGGTAGAAAAAACATATAGAATAATTTTTCCGTTCATTCATTCTTCCAGCAAAGGTGGTTGTTAAGAGCTTAGGAGGGAGGGGGCATTAAATTGCATTGGGGTATCTTATAAAATAAATAATTTAATTAAATTACATGAGATCGGAAGGACATACGGAGATCGACTCTGCTTTTAAAAATCAGGTTTTAGGTGCTGCCCGTCACATCAATTTGCAAATGGACATTTTTGCCATTTCCCTCTTAAAGAGCATTAGTAGCTGTATCCGTCTGTCTGTCAGTCCATCCTACATGAGCTAGATACTTAGAATTCAGAACATCGATCAGCCGCCAGCACGAGGTTTTTTTTCCCAAGCAATTAATAAAGCTAGACTCAATAAATTTGATTTGTAGCTTCTATAATAGGATATTCGATGCTTAGAGGGTTCAGGGCATCCACTAGTCGGCAACTACCGGCTACCCCTTTTAGTTGTTTATTTTAATGATAAATGAAAAGAATAGACAAGTATTAGACATTTTGACCAGTCTCTTTAAGGTGTACACTAAAAAAGTCATATAGATATTTTTATTTATGTTATTTTTTTTTTTTTATATTCAGGCGACAAGCCACACGGCTGTGAATTATGCAAAAAGAAATTTGCCTTGGCCTGCAACCTGCGTGCACATATGAAGACCCACGATGGTAAGTCGCAATATTAATAATGTATAATGAACTATCGTCGTGCTTAATATGTTTGAATCATAAATAATGCCATGGGTTCTTAAGACGTAGATCTAAAACCACTAACCTTCACTAGTAATTGATGATTTTAAGAAAAGAATTCAACGTTTAGGTTTCGGTGCAGAGATGCGTTCCTTATATTGAACGGGCAGTAAGGGTCCAGACACAGAGTACGATCTTTGAGGTCTTGTATCATACGTCATTTATTTCGGGCAGCTATGCACCATATTTGTATAGCGTAGCACAGCCTGGATCTGGACATATATGATTGCCTTGCACCTAAAAGACAGCCTGGTCATCCTTCCTCTGTATCTTTGGACGGCAGTCTTTATGTGGACGCCCAGGCACATGAGTTCGTAGACTTGGTTTATCGATTTTCGAGGTGAATTAAGCAGGTTTTTGTCGGACTGAGGCGTACTTTCCATAGTTTCGTTAAGAAGTCGAGCTGACCTGAATAATCCTTGGCAGACATGGCTTTATCGACTAGGTTATTTCATGCTGAATAATATATGGTCGGAGATGCTGCCTCCTGTCTTTGTACAAAGCTATTATGCCTTTAGTATTACACCAATTTTCAACGTGTTTAATGAAAAATTTCTTATATTTCTTCCATATTTCTTTATCTTTATAGGTGACCTACAGGATGAATGTGTTAGATGTGAAAAGCCGATTATTGGAAATAGCATTATTTTACAGCGGAATAAAATATGCGAAAAATGTCTAGATTTGGGCGATTCAGAAAATGAAAAGAAATTTGCATTACCAGCGAAACAAAGTATGGACACAGAAGAAGAAGCAGACTCTTCCATTGGTGCAACAGAGTCTAGTGAAAAATAAATTTTAAACCTCTTTTGTTAGGAGCCTTTCGAACTAAATGAAAATTCATTATTAATCCCTTAAATTAATAATGTGACCAAAAACTAAAATGTTCTAAACTATTTAAACAAAATAAACCCTATTTATTTAAAAAAAATTATAATAAATATATTAATAAATATGTATTTATAAAATAGTTAATCTAAGCTGAAATGAAATAAAGCACTCACAGAGTCAGCGTTTAGTGATAAAATACAGACAATAATCAAATCTTCAAGGAACTTTATTTTAGTGGTTTATGGCGAACTCCCGGCGCTAAGTATACACAGATCAAAATATGTAACTTTTTTGATACCTCCCCCATCCCTCTCTATAGGTATATATGTATGCACATGCATACATATGTATATAAAATATATGGAAATATATTTGAAAGTGATCTCCAACAAAAATTAACAAAAACAAAAAACTATCAAAATTGCACAGCATAGACCCGCGCACTATCTGTTTGTTAGCACACAATCATCGGACGAATCACAAATAAAAAACACACCTGACAACTAATAGCATTCCTTGAAAATAAGAATTTGCCGCTTTTTTGTTTGTTATACAAAATAGCGAAGGTACCAGACGAACCCGTTTACGAAGTACCCGTTGCAAAGTACTCGTTACATTTGGGTAATTGTTAATAATATTGTACTCGAAAAGAATTTAGTGATTCAAGTCACGTTCACATCCACATCCACATAAGATGACATATTCTAATATATATATATATTTATATATATGTATATACATTATAAATACAAATAAATTATTATTTTGTTGTTTTTCGTTCCTTCTTGTAGTTTTTCCATCGTTCCAATTAATAATTCGTTTTTAATTGTTTATCCTTCCGTTTTTAATACAGAATAAGAATTGACCAATTCCATTGTTCCATTGCTCTCTGTGCTGTTTCTCCGCTGTTATCCAAATCAGAGGCACTTTAGGAGCCTACTATGCCAAGTTATGGGAGTAGGAAATTTTTGCCCAATTTGGGGGAGCCATTTTAATATAAATTTTGACCAAGAATAAAGTTTTCAGATTTTGTTGCCAAATTGATCCAATCCTTGCCTAATATGAATTACAGGGAACGATTTTTTGCTTTCTAAATATTCCAAAAATCTTCGACAACGGGAATTGGAATATTTTATTTATTTCGATCCCGATAATCAATGTATTCTTCTTTGCGCTCTATATAATGGGCCGATGCCCCACACAACAACAAAATATATCGACGCTGCCGATAATATCAAAAGCAAGAAATATAAGAAACAAAGTAAATTATCGCTTATCGGAAAGAAACTCGTTTTGCGCGGGCAATAGGAGGACCCAAAGTCCAAATTTCTTAGCTCCTATAAATTCCGATATCCTTGCGTTCATACATACGGACATACGGACGGACGGACAGACTGGCGGAGATGGCTAGATCGCCTCGGCTGTTGATGCTGATCAAGAATATATATGAATAAACTGGTCGGTTCTGCTATAATTTAATGAATATTTTAATCGGTCATCCATTAATTTAATGTGCTTTTAAAATCAGACAATCAGAAAAAATTAATTTTAGGGTTATTTTTACTCTTGGAAAATTGATGGTGGAAAGAATCCACGATACTTACCATAAATGTATAAAGAAGCAATTACTGCAATATTAGTTTTCATTTATTGTTTCCATGTTTTAGACATTTCAAATCTTTTTATTTTTTAAATTAATCTTTTTTATCTATTTACTAACATTGCCTTCTTCATTTGTAGAATTATTAAGATCACTATTGTTGCAAGTTTCTCCTGAAGATCCACTGACATTTGCCACGTACAGTGCTGGGTCAATTACTTTTGGTATGGGTTTTATTTCCGTTCCTAATTCCTTTTCAATACGATGCAGGTCAAATCGATCCTCGTAAGTAATTAAATTAATGGCGATACCTAAAAGAAAAAGTATTAAGTGGTGAGCCCATAAGTACATATTATTTATATTAATGCAACTTAAATTTAAAAGATGTGAGGAAGTTTGTCTGCAAATTCTTACATTTACAATATGGATGGCCATTTACTGTATGTGACCACATAGTATGTTATACCAAAGGTGTACTTGGATTCACTAAAGGTTGGTCTACGGAGTTTAACGATCCTTTTTTACCCAATCTTCTCTACATCTTTCTTGTTCTCCCTATCCTTGAATAGTGCTATTGCATCTGGTCTCCGCAGTTTGCCAATAGCCTGGATCGTATTAGGTCATTTCAGAAGCAATTTCTACTTCTACTCCAACAGGCTTCTTCTTCTTGATCTTCCGTCGTTAACCAACCGTAGGAAAATCCTCGGTGTTGTCTTCCTATATAAGTTGATTGTTGGCGACAAAGTTTCTTATTTTCTGTTTTGGCGTCTTCAATTCTCTGTTCCGTCCAATCCTACCAGGAATTATCGACCCTTATTCCTACCTACGTGCACAACAGATAACGCATGCTTTGCAATCACTTTTCTTCACAAATAATAACAAATTAAAAAAAAAAAAAAATATATTAAAATTGACAATTGCTGCTCGAGTTAAACAGGCGACTGATCCGACGTTCGGACACCCAAGCTACAAAGTCACATATGTAATGCGCTTTCTAATACAAGCTTTGTAGGTCAAAAAGAAGCTTCTGTAAAAATGTCCGCTTAAGGGCTTGTGTTAGTCGCAGTTCAGTCAATTACCGGCCAGAAGTAAATTTTTCATAAATTTTAGAAGAAATTGCCCTGCGTTCCCCACACGACACTTTTCAAACATAAAAAAAATACTATAATGTAGGGATATCTTCTGCTTGTCGAATTACTCTTGCGATACTGCGGAAAATGTGAGAATATTAAAGCTCGAAGCTTTGATTAATGTATTGAGGAAAAGAAATATTAGTCGGACCATTAAATTGGGCAGCTAGTTCACGTAAACAGACAGACGGACATAGCCATATCGACGCGACGGTTGTGGCTAAAATCTAAAATACATATAAGTACTTTATGTGGCCGGAGATGCCTTCTACTATGCGGTAGACTTTTTTTTTGACAAAATCATAATAATTAAAATAAAATATATAAAAAAAATAATCTTATATTTAAAAAGGAATGTTTTTATATTTTAAGAATTGTAATTACTTACCTAAATGACCAAACCGACCAGATCGGCCGATTCGATGTAAATATGTTTCCGCCATTCGTGGAAAATCGAAATTGATTACGACATTCACAGCTTGTACATCTATACCACGGGTAAACAAATCAGAGCAAACCAAATTACGGCACAGACCTTGTCGGAAATCGTGAAAGACTCTGTTTCTATGTGCTTGGGCCATTTTAGCATGAATGTAGTAACAGCAATAGCCGAGTTCAGTTATTTTTTTTGCTAAGAGTTCAACACGTTGCGTAGAGTTGCAAAATATTATTGATTGATTTATTTGCAGTTTTGAAAATAAAGTGTTTAAGCAGTGAACTTTCTGCCGTTCTTGTACAAATGCATAGTATTGGGTGACACCTTTCAATGTTAACTCTTCCATAAGGTTTATCTCATAGGGTTCACGCAAATGTTTTTCCATAAAGTTTTTTACGGTTAATGGAAATGTAGCGGAAAACAGCAATATCTGTGGATCCTTGGGTAATTTTAATATAACATGATCCAGCATGCCTTGAAAATCTAATGAAAGCAGCTTATCAGCTTCATCCAAGACTAATATTTTACAATGGGACATATCTGCCACTTTTTTATCCATTAAATCCAAAATTCGACCGGGAGTTGCAATTATTAATTGTACTGAAATAAAATAAATAAATTTAAATTATCTTGAAAAGTTGAATCTTAACAAATGTATTTAAATAATAATACGAGCTCGTGTGCTTTAGCTGTAATAAAAATAAATAAACAAAAAAAAAAAATAATAATAATTCCCTCAATAGGATCAAGCGCCTCAAAAGATCAATCGAATAGATCGCGCAGCATGTTTCAAGGTTTTATGGACAGCGAACGGAAATGATCAATCTTGAAGTTGATAGAAAACTTTTAAGGAAATTTAAATCAAAATAGGTTAATGCCACTATTGATTCTCAAAAAATTATGGACTTTGAATAAAATGTTAGCAATGCCTTTAATTTTGATTGTAACTTGCATAAAATTAATAAACGATTTTATTTCCATCTTTAAGAGATAATCTTTGTTATAAATTGAAATAAACTCAATACCTTTTTGATATATACGAAGAATGTCATCCTTTAAAATGGTTCCTCCTGTTGTTACCATTACTCGAATATCCAGATGCTTAGCAAGTTCAATGCATATTTGTGAAGTCTGCAAAGCCAGTTCTCGTGTAGGGACCATTACTAATGCTTGAATATAGTCTTTAGTGGGGTCAATTTGCTCCAGGACAGGAATGCAATATGCTCCCGTTTTTCCAGTGCCGTTTTTTGCTCGAGCTAAAACATCTTTTCCGCTTAAGGCAATAGGTATAGCAGCTTCTTGAATCGGTGATGGTCGCTCCCAACCTTTTTCGAAAATACCCATGAGAAGTTCCCGCTTAAGACAAAATTCTTCAAATTCGTTGCCACGTGTATCAGTCACATCCTGAAAAGATCGTACGCATTATTCTATATAATATAAATATATTGTAAAAACAAAATCTACTAATATACATATTTTTAAATATTTCTTAAATATGTATAATCTTATATATATGACTATCTATTGCCATCTGCTATTTAAATTTATTGCAAGTGGCAAATTTAAATAGACCCGTATTATCTATAAATATATTTTATTTAAACCTAAAAATAAACTTACTGTTGTTTTGAATCGGTTGTCCTTTGGGGGAAGCTTCAGTTTAGATTTCCAACCCATGTCGTCACTTAAATTAGTGGCAATTTGATGATCACTTAAAATCCTAAAACAATATGCAAGTAGATTATTTATCAATGAGTGTTTTAGTAGTTTTACAAATATTATATGGTATATATGCAGAGTATATGTGCAGAGGTTGCCTTAATTGCGCCAGTGTAAACGACCTCCATCAGCCATCTAAATTTAGAGCATTTTAAACGTAGGTCCTCTCCTAATGCCCGCGTAACGTGCCTTGTTTCCCAGCAATCGATATTCTACTTTCAGAGTCAGAGTATGTTTTACTTTTCATTAGATTGCTGAGAGCCTGTACGCAATCTATTTGTGGCTTAAATTGGTGGTCAAACAGGTTTATTAGGACTAGCTCATAAGTTTTGAAATCTTTGCGTTCATAAATAAGGACAGACAGATGGACGGGCGGACATACTGACAGATAGATGGATATGACTGGATCGACTTTGCTATTGATGCTGATCAAGAATATATATACTTTACGGGGTTGGAGATGCTTTCTTCTGTCTGTTACATACATTTGCAGAAATACATTTATCTATTTTGCACGGGTTCAGGGTATAAAAATTAGAAAAATCCGAAAACTAATCTTTTGTTCGTGCTATTTCATCCAAAAGCATTTTCCATCCGATTGTTAACAAAAATGTTGGCCAATTTTCATCTATTTACCTGCAATTTATCAAAAATCTTGAATACCACAATTGTGGGTAGAATTTTCAAAATCACTGAAACACTTATTCATTCAGTTCTTCAGGGATGAATTGAAAATAATATGCAATATTGTGAAAAGAGGAAAGCGAAGGAAATTAATTTGAACCCGGAACTTTTGAGCATCAAATCTCTCCAAAAAAAAATTTCCAAAATCGTGCGAATCTATCATATAAAATAACATGGTGAAAATTGTACGTTCATCAGTTTAATATAGAGAGATGTATTCAAATTAAAATATGTAATATTATTTTAATATCTTGTTTTCGACCAACTACAAATAGCTTTTACACTCTCCTGATCTCTCTTGCCTTACATTCCACATTTTTAAAAGCGAACCCTCTTCTAACAGGCACGCCGGGCAAGCTGAGTAACAGACAAAACAAGATAACTTTACTCGGAAGTGCCTCCCGGGAGATTCGCCGCAGCCCGCGAAGCCATAACATGGGTAGTTTACGCTGCGGCCGCGCTGCATGTTCCCCAGGACTATGGGGGAACGCCTTTATAAAGATTTCTAGACTTGGGTATTTTTTGTCCGTTCTTTATTAAACTTCGAGGGTTTTAAAAGGGCATCCAAATGCGTGTAAATACCTGAGCCTAAGACAAAGCATCTAACAATGCGTTTTTTAACATCGTCGGAACATGGGCGGAAACATACTCGTATAACGCGAAAGTAGCATGACTTACGTCTAAATCTCTAGCTGTTATGGTTTCCGAGATCTACTCGCTCGTGCATACCGACATGGCCAAATCGACTTAACATTTACATTTCAGCAAATAGATGTTCGTTTATGAGTCTTTCATTCTCTGCGATTAACATGTTCAAATACATTTAATTAGGTATCGTATATTGGTTTTTCAAGCAAATACTGCTACTATAGGCAAAAAAAAAAGAATGCCTGTGCATAGAAAACTGCTGTCAAGATATCTTCACCAAACACAGTAATTTACTTTTTACTGTTGCCCCTTGTATTTTGTATACGTTTCTTTCATTAAATTTAGAAAATCTATATAAATACATCTAGGCGTAATATTAATACGCACTTAAATATGTACACATGCAATGCATAACTCAATTTGTATGTGCATTAAAGGCATGATCTCAGTTATATTGAAATGAGTGCATTTGGTGCGTGTTCTTTTAATATAAAATCTAAATTAAGAAATATGTATGTAAATTGTACAAACCCTTTGTTAACCAAACTGGGGTGACCCTGAACAATTTTCTCTGTCATCATCCTTGCAGTTTAGTTAATTTTATTCGAAGTATTTGTGTGACGATCTAAAAATTAAAGCAATGATGCATATATTTTTTCCACATCTGAATTATAAAGCTGGTATGTGTCATGGTCTTACCTGTTGTTTTAAATAGTAAATATAGCTCCGCAATTATTCTTTTTATGGCTTTAACTTATTCCAAGTCTAACGGTGAATATACCAAATTGAGATTGAATATACAGCTTAGATATCACAAATACAACCTAATGAGCAGTAGAAACCTTTACAGCCTTACAACTTCTTATCAATAATACCAATTACAAGAAAACAATCATTCGGTAAAAAAAACATGTGAATATTTGTAAGTGATGTGAAAACTTCACACGTTCGATTAGTTAAGTTCACTATTTAGTTTATTATCAACGAGGTTTTTCTCTATCAGGTTAAGTTTTTTTTTATATTTAAATTACTTTTAGCAGAGAATAAAAGATAATGCGTTGTTTTTTTTCTTCAAAATTTATGTAGGTTGTTCCTATCACAAAATGTTCCATACAAAATGAAACAGATAGACTTTGAAACAATGGAATCGGTACACAAATTGGAAATTAACATATACATTTAATTAAACTCATTCTTTTTTTAGATTATATACACATTGATTTGTTTGTTGGCTATTTTGGATTCAATACAATGAACAAAACACCCTGAATTTTTCAAAGAAATAGTTTCCTAGAGTACAATATTAATTTTGATGCTCCACAATATCAGCTGAATTTAAAAATTTAATCGGATTAGGCTTTCGTTGCCTAAGGCTCACATAAAAGAAGCATTATTTTAATTTACAAATTCAAGAAGTTCAAGTTGCCAGATATATACATTATATTGATTTAAAGGCCAAACCATGAAGAAAGACCTTAACCATGATGCACAATTGATCAGGAGGCCAAACGCTGAGCAATGAAAATTATCGTTTAAAAATTATCGTTTAAAAATTAAGACACAGGAAGAATTAATTTTTTGACGGACGTTTAATTTTTTTGCAACAAAAATAAAGTCTTTATAAATTTTGGTTATATATGACAGCATATCATTTCTGAGCACTGACATTTATCATGTCAAACCTTCTTGCCAGCATAAGATGCGTATTGAAATCAGAATAGATGCAAAATTCGAAGGCCAATTTATCGCGGATTTGTAGACATCCGATAATTATTTTTGCGGGTCAGGAAAACTATTGCAAATATTTTTGTTGGTTTGCTTTCTGATCTACCTGTAGTAAATTGTATATTCAACTCGAACAATTCGGAGATTTTTCTTTTCGTCAATTACAAAAATGAAGCTTTATCATGTAGGGGTATTATTTAATATAAATTTAATTTTAAGTATCATCCGTAATAATTTGTAGTATATTGCTATATTTTAATTTTCACGTCAATTTACAACTCAAGTCAATGTACAATATATAATAACTGATTAGTGATGGTAATCGAAAAACATTAGTGGCGCTATCTTGCACAATTTTGTGTTTCAGCTCATTTGAGTGACTTATTCCCTTAAATGAAAGCTTCTTTATACAAAACTCTAAATATGCATAGCATTTACCATTTAAGCATGTGTGTCAGCCATATTGGCTCAACACTCGCTAGTTGAAGGAAATTCATAAATAAAACACAAATTATATTCAATATAAACGAGCAAGCCCAGCTAGAGATTGTGTGAAAATGGTATAATAATTGAATGTTTACTAGACATACATAAATCCCACACATATAATGCAAAAAGTTCTGCAAACACTAAAATTAAAGCGAATTACAATTTGCTTGATATTATTAATATATTGTGTATAAAAAAAGTTTAATTGTTATTATGGACTTTAGTTGCAGCCAGACACAATAGTTAATGGCTCCCTTATGAATGTAAAGTGTATTTAAATGTATATACATACATATGTAGCTATGTACCTCATATATACCCATACACATGAAATTAATCGTGTTTGTACGTTCACATCTATACAATTTAGAAGTCAAGCTGTGTCTATAACCGCTTTCTTTTTAAGTATTTGTTAAGAGATTTATTTATTATGAAAACCGCATAATTTAACTTTTTACAACTCCTAGTTTCAGACGAAAAGTATATAATCTACCCTCAAATTACAGCTACATATTGTCATATGTATTATATATGCTAGTAATTTGAAGAACAATTATTGTCTTTCACATAATAATGGGGGACCGGGACATCCCAAGTGTACCCATCACAACATTAGCTGGCCTAACCAGCACATCTGATTGTAAGTACTTGTGCGATTGCTGCATTAATTGTCTATCAATATTAACCGATTTCCCATTTAGTGCTCAGCGAGTTACCTGTCTCAGATTGCCTTCAGAGTGCCGCATCTTTTAATAAATCGCTTCTGTTTCATTCGTTGGTGGCCAACGAATCAAATAATTTATTGTCTGTGCGCGATGAAAATCTAGTAAGACAGTTGGTGAATGCCATCGAGCAGACGAACTCTGACAATATGTAAGTTTAGCTATGGATAATTTGATCGCTAATATGTGCATTATTTATATTGTATTGCACTTCTCTTTTAGAGAACTTAAGCCGCAATATACCCTACAGCAGCATGGCGCCAATATTAGCACATATCCTGAACTGCTTCAGGGTATTTATAACTATCGCCCAACTGTTTTTAACACTCCCCGGAGAATCGGTAAATTGATGTGCAAGTGAAATGATTTGCAAAGCAATAAACTCTTTTTTTTTATAGCGTTAAATGATTGCACGTACCAGCAACAGCTTACGGAGCATTTGCAGAAAGAGCGGCCCACACAATCCCAGCACATGGGCGTTAATGTTAATGATATGTGTGAAGAATCGTACAATTTAAATGCTGAGCATCGTGTGCATCCGCCTGCAAAAGAAAGTTTAGCGCAATCAATCAGGTAGGAATTGAAAGCTAGAATAGATAAGAAGTCGATGAAATTGCCAGAAGCAACCGACTCTAAAAAGCTCTTAATTTTTAAAACAATTCGATCAAAATATCTGATAAATATATTGTCATTTATTGATATAATCAATCGGATGCAATTCATCTTGTTACCTTATACTTTAAATATGAAATCGAAATATGTTAGTTTAATATTTGCATAGTTTTGTAAATTCCACTCAAATTTTACTCACCTCATTCTCTTTCAGCATCGATGTTACCCGTCAATTATCTGATCAGCGTGATAATAGAACATGTAGGCTTCAGGACGAATCCATGGAAGTTTTTATTCAAAGACAACAACAATACGTGCAGGGCATGAAAACTTCTTCAGCAGATACAGCAATACCGGAGGAGCAGCAGTCGTCACTAATTCAAGTATTGAATCAGCACGGACACCAGCCCGAGACGTGTTATCAATCACAGCCTAAAGACCACATTAATATGGCAAACAACAAGAGCACGAAATTATCAATTAGCCAACAGCAATTAAGTAAGCTTTCAGAGTTAACAGATACATTACATCAGAACGCATTTCAAGCTCCGACAACAACTACATCGACGATACAAGGAAATTTTCAAAATGTGTTGAATCTGCAAAGGCAACAGGTAGCCGATGGAAGCCTATCACAGCAGCAAGAAGTTTTAAAATCACAGCAACAATACTCTAAACCACAATCGCCTCTCACCGCTTCAACCTCACTAGCGATTGGTCACAATAATAGCACATTTTTACACGATTTTAATCAATATACGAATCTTACATCAACTGCAACTTCTACATCAACATCCTCAAGCGGCAAATCCCAGGTTCGGGTATGTATAAATCGCCTTAGCGTTGAAGATGCTCGACTCATGCAACAGAGTATTAAAAAGTTTGTACAAAAGTCACCAGAATTGGCTAGAGATATGGGGTTACTACAGGAATCTACTACTAACAAAGACAATGACAGTGAATACCTGTCGTTAGCAGCTGAGTTCAGTTCAGTTGGAGTGTCTGGTGTTCCTAAAATTGATCCCACAAACCCGAATGCTGCACAATCATCTGCATCATTAGATATATTTACTGTTATTAAAGCAGATGAAAAACGTACTGGTACAAAACGAAAATTGGCCATTTCACTGGGCGATATTCCCCCAGAACAAATATGTAAGTTCCATTAAAATCCGACTTCTTGTTTGTATTTATATATTTTTATTTGTATGTCATATTTTAGTCTCAAAACCCAAACTGCGTCGGGTTGAACGTATTATGGCGCTGTCAACTCCAAAAAGCACTAAGGAAGAAGTCATCCGATCGCAAACATACCAACAGTTTATGAGGAATATGGATCAAATAATTGAAATGCTGGACGATACGGAATCCCCAAACTTCGATTCAGGTACAAGTCAAATTAATTGCATTGTAAATATACGTATATTTCTATGGAAAAGGAATTGATTTATTTTATTTTATTTGTATTTACAGAGGATGTTGATGATAATATAGAGTGCATTTCGTCAAAACTTCTTAATACAATGAGTGATGACGTTGCCAAGTTAAAGGCCAAACAAGCACTGGATTCGATACCGAAAAACAAATTAACACTTCTTATTAACTACGCCATGCGCAACGTTTATTTGGCAAGAAACTATTCTGCTGGACCGGTATGTTGCTTTGAGCCTAAATTTAGGGCAGTTTAAAACACATGATCATCTCTTGTAGGAAGACGAAGATGAGATAGTTGATGATGAAGTCATTGAAAAAATATTAAACGCAATGGATGCGTGCTTGCTTATATGTAACATATATTCAACAGTGAGCGACTTAAAGTTTTTGCAAGAGGATAATATTTCACACATTATTAAATTTGCTCAGTTTCAATTGCGTGAAACTATATTTCCGTTGCACGATCCCGTGTATACTGTAAAAAGTGTTAAAAAATCTAGTCAACGTAAAAAAACTAAGTCTCATCAAAGTCACCACCGGAGCCTTCAGCTTTTCTACTCTAAAGTCGTTGAGCTTCTAAAGGTATTTGTGGCTCTCTTCGATAAATGCATATTTGTCGATACCATAGTGCTACCCTTGTCGACGCTCGCTATAGAGCCATTCTTTGTAGACAATATTGAAACACTGCAATTTGTTTGCCTGGAGCTAGTTACCACTGTAAGTACACTATTAAACTAAAATTACTTTTGAATTAAAAATTTTCCCGATCTGCGAAGGCCGTAGAAGCAAACATCAGTTTGACACATTCGTTCAGACTAACAAACAGGCTGTTCAAAAATAAAAATAGCTTAGATAGTGAGATGAGCTTGATCCTGTCTGTTACATCTTTGGAGACGGTTTCTCCTGAAGAGTTCCACTACTAACTCTACTAAAGGTTTATTGTCCGACCTATTATTACAAAAATAACATTAATAATAATATATTTGTAATATGTTCGGATCTTTTTATTACCGCTAACACTTGTTTTTGAGCATTTTAATCGGTTCAGGGTGTAAACAATTAGTTTGTCCATAAGCTTATTCCAAATTTATGTTAGACCTAGATTTATGTTAGAGAAAAATATCCATTTAGCATAATTAGGAAATGAAGGATTGAAGAATGTATCTGACGCAGCTGTAATCTTGGGAACTCAAATAATTGGGTAACCAAAAGTTACAAGCCTAAAGTCAGTCCTTTAGAAGTTGGGCATTTTTCGATTAATTTATAACTATGCATATTAATATATTTTAACATTTATATTTTAGATATTTCGAAAGGAAAGATATGATAAAATACGTAACAGTATTTTGGGTGACATATTATCTTCTATTGATCGCTTACCTTCGTCAAAAAAGAATCTTCGGCCATATAAGCTTACAAACAATGGGGGAAATATTCAAATGGTTACTGCACTAGTGCTCCAATTAATTCAATGCGCTACAATTTTGACGGATTCTCTTTGTGATACCGGTAGAGGTAATGCCAAATTTACTCATATTTTTGATGATGATCTACCAAGCGGTGCTTCACAAATAGTAAAGCCTAATCAGGATATCCTTGTGTTGAAAAAGTACGATGTCGCTGTTAGTATTGGCGGTAACTTTTTAACGACTTT